GGCTTGTGTAGTTTCCCTTTCAAAGCTTGCTTTACAGTTTGTTATTTATATGGATGCCTTCCCTACGCTTCAAGGTGTTCATGTAATCAGAAGGTAATAAATATAAGGTAAGAGATGTACTTCCTATTTCGCATTAGGCCGACAACATTTTCAACTGAAAAACAGTAAAAACTTAAAATTTATACATGTATAGTATTTGGTTTCATTGTTCGTACGTGGTTCTTAATTCAACGAAACCCAATTCATTATTTCTATAAGACGTTTTAATGAAGCATAATGATCAAGATTAAGACTAAACACTATTCTAGCTAAAGGTATTAAACTTCACAATTAATGAAAATAATAAGTGGACAAAGTATTAAGATTATGTTATCAAAAATATTCAAGTTCTTCTACAAAAAGTTCAAAATTGTTTATAAAGATTTCTCAACATTGACGCATAACTTTGTTTAGACATACAAGATTCTATTTCTTTCGTAATCCTGGAATTACCATTAAGCTCCGTATGGAACCCATCGGCTTTTTTATACCCGATTTATAAACTATGGTCTGTAGGTCGATGCCTTTGTTGGTTATATGGTCCTTAATAACACATGAGTTACACATAAAATGTGAACAGAAATATTCCTTTAGACTGATTGTTCTAGCAGACAAAAACACGGCATTACTGAAAAAGAATTATATATATGACCCCACATCAAGTAAACGGTATATAGAAATTTATAATTGGAGGATCAGAGGAAATATTAGAACTTTAAAGTAATTTGTGCACCAAGTGGAGTATAATAATGGACTATAAACAAGACTTATGATTTAAATCTTTATTTAAACACTATAAGTTTTGTATTTTTTGTTTTATACAACAATTACAATTTCATTGTTTGTTAATTATTAATTGATATGTAAATATCCTTGTATTTGAAGAATATGCCCTCGATAAATCAGCGGTAAATTTACGGAATTCCCGTGGTAAATACAGCAGTTAGTCCAATGTCGCTTTCCGCTACAATAAACAAACAAAACTTTGAGCTTGAAGACAACAGTGAGTTTAGGTGTCATTATTGATGTCAGAAAATGTATAACTTTATTTATTAAGATAGTAATAAACTCCCTGAGATCCTACAGGACAATCGAAGCGTTACTAGCAAAGTAACACATTCTACATCTTTTCACACGAAGACACAAATTGTTTTGTTGAGAATAGGGAAATTACACAAGCCAAATGTTATTAACAGTGGAATACTAATTAATAACAATTTCTTTTGCAAATGATAATTTGATAATGGCTGGAGACGGCTTGAATGGGTACCTGATGATGACAAAACCTTGTCGAAACGTTGTACATTTGCTGTTATGTTAAACTTATATTAAAGTTTTTCTTCATTACCCATTCAAGCCGTCTCCAGCCATTATTAGTCTCAAAGTGGGTTCCTCGTCATCGAAAATGATAATTTGTTGATTAAAAGGAAAACTTATACTTACCACGTTCTATACTAAAGAAACCAACTCAATATTTTGTGGATATATAAATTTTATTTGTCTTCTTTAAGTCTAACTCTTCATTTGAAACTATTCCTTTACATGAAGGTCTAACACCGTTAGGGCAATTAATTCTTAACTTTAAACCTTTTCTTCAGAATAGGAGAGTAACAGTCATGCTCTTTATATATATATATACTGTTGTTTCTTTTAACAACACTTCGCAGTGAGTTGACTTACCTGTAACAGGCTGGGAGACTCAATACCTCTGACCACTTGATTGATGTAGACGGTGACACCACCGTGTTGAAGATCCTTCATGGGCTGGAGATAGAGCCAAAGATGCGCTTTTTTGAGATGTGACTTCATAACCTTCTCGGAGAAGTCAAAATGAAGGACATTTTTCTCTACACTTTGGTCGTATTCGAGCGCTGTTAAAGAAACCAGACAGATTTAGCGTTCTTCTCGTCATGTCCACCTTCTTCTCGGCGTACACAATTAATCCTCATAAAACAAGAAGTTTGGCGTCATCAACAATATAAATACGTGTCACTAAATAAAACAAACAATTAATCGTTGATGTTTAGGAATAATTAAATGGAATGGTATACCAAACGAGCAGGAAAAAAAGAGCGCTCTTTCTTGTGTACGTCAACTTTGCAGCATTGAATATCATCACGCGCTGAATAATGAGTTGTGCCTACAAACATTGCTTTGATGAAGCGTTGTTGGATTTGTTGAATTCTAGATTTACTTATCATAACGTTAATTTAAGATCTTAGCTAATTTTGAAACTGAAACTTACCTATATTGTATATGAGTCTCGAACAGTTTTTGAAGATTTGTTTGTTTGTTTGTTTTGAATTTCGCGCAAAGCTACACGAGGGCTATCTGCGCTAGCCGTCCCCAATTTAGCAGTGTAAGACTAGAGGGAAGGCAGCTAGTCATCACCACCCACCGCCAACTCTTGGGCTACTCTTTTACCAACGAATAGTGGGATTGACCGTCACAATATAACGCCCCCATGGCTGAAAGGGCGAGCATGTTTAGTGTGACGGGGATTCGAACTCGCGACCCGCAGATTGCGAGTCGAGCGTCCTAACCACCTGGCCATGCCGGGCCAGTTTTGAAGAAACCAACAATATACTTCAAGTAGAAGCACTAGGGGTCAATGACCCTAATACATTTCCTACATGGATATGTGTATTTAGTAATGCCCTCCCCCCCAAAAAAAAATAACACAACAACAAACAACTCAAATTATGCCCTTTTCCCACAATTATACTAATCAGGCTACTAAATGACTTACTGTACTAGGCATATTTTACAGTTGTTAACCAGTAAACAAGAACAGTACGTGTTTCACCCTTAAATACTTGATAATAAACAATCCTGCTGTGTGAGAACAAGGGGGAGGGCAAGCGGTCCCAGCACAATACTTTTTACATCCCCTATGCCCGCTAAAATAATGATCTCTGAATATTCAGCGCCCAAGTTTAAAGCGGGGTGAGTCTTTTTGTTCAGTTGCCGGTGGCCACATACTGCGCAGTATCGTACCTCACAGAGTAAGACCAGCAAGGAAGAGTCAACAAATACTTACCCCCTGATGAGTTAGAAAACGAAGTCTTTCAGACGATTCCGTGTCCTAAACTTTTACGGGCTTTGCTCCCTTCTAAGGAATCTGGACGCTGTTTCCGCCTCTTTGCCGGTTCATAATTACACATGACAGTGTTTTGTTTGACTATTTAATAGACTTAGTAAAGGTCATGATGGTAGTGGACGACCTACACCCTTTACTGACTTCCAGGTATTCAAAGGTACTCACTCACTTGGGACTATGTTCCATTTTTCATGACCCTTCACAGCTAGAGCTTCATAATGAAGTCCAAATTGCTTTCAAATAGCCAAAATTTCCTTCGCTTTCTTTCACTTTTAATCTTTCCAAGCATGGGGTTTCAACTAAATTTATTGGCTTAGCTCACCATGTGCCAGTGGAACATGCTGGGATAATAAACGGAAACTTAGCTCTTCATTTCTGTGTTGTTTTGTGTGGTCAGTTACAGTTTTAAAGTCGTGCGTCCCTCACTCATTGAATAAGCTTCGTATTTTATGTAGGGAAAATATTTTTAGAAAATTATGTTTGTATGCTAGTTTGCTCATTTGGAACTAAACCAAAAAGTAAACAGAACTTTTCTAAAACGAACAAGAAGAATTGTAAGTTCTTAATGGAGCTTAAATATGTTTATATAAAATAAAAGCTAAAGCTAAGTAAAATAAACAGGATACATAAGTTTCTCTATTGATATTGTAACAACGTTGTTTTCAAATGACCTAATTCCCGTTGGTAACTATGGTAACTTAACAAAACAGCCTAGCTTACAAAAATACGTTTTAGTGACTAGTGCGATTTAAACTGGCTTATACAGTTTGCACATACTTCCGGGTATACACTGACGATCCCTAGTACAAATAGGTTGGTACAAAACTTATATGTCTGAATTAATAGTTATTCTTCTTATACCGTTTACACATACTTCCAGATATACACCGACGATCCATAGAACACATAGGTTGGTACAAAACTTATATATTTGCATTAATAGTTATTCTTCTCGGAAATGCCCTGATCGACACACGCGTGAATAAAAGCTAATTTTACCTGAGAATCTAGCCTATAATGTTTCTCGCTTTTTCTATTGCGCTTTTAAAGTACGTAGGATTGAAGAACCTGATAGATATATGATCGAATGTGATTTCTGTGATTCTAGTTTGTTTGTTTATTTACTTTCCAGCTTTCTCATGAAACAGTTGATAATTTCGAGATATGGCTTCGTCAACTTCAAATCCTTCTTGTTAAAGATATGCCCAGCTTCATTACAATAACTTTTTAAGCTCAAAGGGTTCTCTTTGATAACCATAGCCTTCACTTTATGGATGAGAACGTTGCTCCAGCTTGGCTTGTAGTTTAGTTTCGGGGTTCATTGTTTTCCTAACTGCTCTACTGTGCGAGTATTTCTGATGGAGAACACTAAAGGAAATATTTTGTTCTTTTGCTATCTCACGAATATCTTTACTCGGAAAGAGTTATGGTTTATCAACATGTAAGTCTATCCGTGGTGGCATTACACTGTAGGGTGGTAGAACATTTGCCTTGAACCAAATATACACTATTCTATCAAAAGTCATGTGACACGGGTAGTTATGAATAAAACATCTCTTTATTCCAACAAATTAATGGCGTGTTGGCCGGCCTTTGGCCTTAATGACTGCTTCAATGCGTCGTGGAAGACTGTCTACTAATGTCTGGTAGAAAGCTGGTGGTATTGTGCTTTACTCCTTTAAAACATTAGTAAGCTCCATTACTGAAGATGACCATCTTCGCCTTCCCCTAATTTTGCGTTCCAGTTCATTCCAAAAACGGTTGAGGTCGGGGCTCTGTGCTGGCCACTGTAATGTTCCGATGCCATTCTCTTCAAACCACACGTTCACAATCCATGCTTTGTAACATGGAGCGTTATCATGTTGGAAGGTCTGAGGGCCGGTAACGTAAAATTACCACAATGAAGGACACACAGAATTGTTCAGAACATCAATGTAGGACTCAGCATTCATGGATCCATACATTGCAACCAATGGATCTACTCCATACCACGAGGAGCACCCTCAGACCATGATACCGCCACCTCTAAACTTCACTGTTGGGACAACACACTCAGGTAACAAGAGTTCTCCAGGTATCATAACTCGTCGATCCACATGGACCTACTTCCATTGATCCACGGTCCAGTTTCGGTGTGCCTTGCCCTATACCAATCGACTGTGTGCATTTGTTGTTGTTTTTTATCAACGGCTTGTGGGCTGCAGCTCTTCCGTTAAAATGCATGGCATGCAGCTCTCGATGTATCGTGGAAACACTGATAGGATTGCCTGTGGCTGCTTGCATCTCCAAACACAGATTCTCTAGGGTCTGACGGCGAGATGAGGTAACCAGCCTTCTATAGGCGCCTCGGCTCCTGTCAGTCAGTATTTTACACCTATCTGGTCGTTTCTTGTTCTCATTATTATCACCTGTGGACTTCCATTTCTTCAGCACGTTGCCAATTTTCGACCTGGGAATGTTTAATTGTTGCACAATAGCACGTAAAGACATTTTTCTTTATCACCTTTATAGGCCAAACTATTTCCACATTTCGTCATCACACCCATTTTCCTGCAATCAGAGGTGTGTCCCATGACTATTGGTAGGATAATATGTATATATATTCTAAATGTGGCGTCTGTGGCGCAAAGACACTCCATTAGCATACGCTTAATATAATTGTTATACAGTGCGATTAAACCTCTGTACCTTGTCCCCAATTCTGTCAGTGCCGTTTAGTTTGCCAGTGAGATTTTTTCCTTGTACAAATCATTTCGCGACTAGTTTTGACATTATCTCTTTATTTACTAAAATCCTTTACATGAAATTGTTGACATTAGTCTCTGAAAAACTTGTGGAAATAGCACCCTGTCTAAACTCCATCTTAAGCTCTTGAAATTAAAAACTTCAAATTTCTTTTAAACAAATAGATGATGCTCCCCTGAGGACGTTAACGCACTTCTACGTTACCACAAGCACATGTTGTCCAGTCGAGTTTAAAAGTGTATAGAGAAAACTTTTCTTCCTCAGTTTTGTCCCGAATATGAGTTACTTTTTTCCTTAAGACTCTCTCTCTCTTAAAACTCTCAAAATCCGAGCAACAAATGTGAATCTAAATTAAATTATTATCCATGATTCATTTAGTTTCTTTACTTCCGTATACCAAAAAAAAAAAAAAAAGATTCGTTTATGGTATTTTAGTGCATTTTATTAAATTTATTCCAAGTTGTTAAAAACCTAATAGAATTCTTTGTCCAAATAGTCTAAACCTCAACTTTTTACTTCTTCACTGAAATTGATATATATTAAGACACAACGACTACCTCCCTCTGTTATATTGCCCCCCAGGTGACACAGCGGTATGTCTGCGGACTTACAAAGCTAGAAACCGGTTTTCGATACCCGTGGTTGGCAGAGCACAGATAGCCCATTATGTAGCTTAGTGCTTAACTTCAAAACAAACAAACAAAACGAAATTATTTTGCAACTTTGCACGAAATCCTGCCACCCCAGTGACACAGCGGTATGACTGAGGACTCACAAAGCTAGAAACCGGGTTTCGATACCCGTGTTTGGCAGAGCACAGATAGCCCATTGTGTAGCTTTGTTCTTAGCTTCAAACAAACCCTCTCTTATTAGAAGAAACAAACCTCGCACTTTCTTCTACCCACTAAAACTGTTAAGTGCCGAATATTCACTCAATACTTAATGACCGATATTTTCAAGCATACGATATCTTGGTAAAGTTTTGATATTGAAAGTTAATTTAACCCCAGAATTGCCGATGAGGTACATAGATTTTAAGGACGTTTTTTTAAACTATTTATTCACAAAATTACTTGGGAGTTCAAACTCTTGTTGATTACAGGTCCTTAATGATATATGAGTTACACAACACAACAATTACCGCTGTGGTTTATTATATATACAGATAAATGAGTGGTTTCACTCAATTTGTTTGGCTGATTCTTTACATTAAGTGTTTTAGTAGACATAAAACATAAAATTATTCAACACGATTCAATATGTGATGTGGACTCCACCAGCAATAAATGATATAAGAAAAGGTCAGTGATACCAAGATTAAGAGACTTGCAAGTCAACCCTATCCCCATAATGATTTCAGAATTATTTTTAAACCTCTCTGTACACTTGGTAAACGTTTAAAAAAACGAAGACTGCTTACTGTCTGATTTCGTATTATTCAGGGGCCCCCCAGTGGCACAGCGGTATGTCTGCGGACTTACAACGCTAGAATCCAGGTTTCGATATCTGTGGTGGGCAGAGCACAGATAGCCCATTGTGTAGCTTTGTGCTTAATTACAAACAAACAAACAAAACAATTATTCATGGATAACATACACTCGTTGACAAAACTAAGCGCCACCCATCAGCTTATAAGCATGGGAGACTTTCAAAGAGGATTGGTAAACATTTAGCAGATGTTTTTCTTTCTCTATACAAGCATAACACTAGTTTGGATAATTTTACTCTGTCAGTTAAAGGTTATAAATATATGGAACTTCTATTGAAAGAAATATTGTTAACCGAAGAAAAAATCTTATTGCTTTCAATAATACACAATCTCATTTTTTTTCATTTAAATTTGATATATATTTAAACATGTGTATAAAGTATGGTTTATCGTTTTGATCTTATTTTCCACAATGGTGTTGACGACGTTATCTTCTTGCTGATTAGATCATTATTTTTGGCAGATGAATCTATTTTCGATGATTCAACCATGAACAATTCCTTATTACAGGCTATCGTTACCACATCTCTCATAGCGCTAGGATAATCACAACAAAATTCAGAATGAAACTCGGATTTTAACTTGATTTTCATAAATTCCGGGGCCGAGTGTGGCCAGTGGTTAACGTGTCTTGATTGTGAATCTTGGGGCTCATGGTCTGCATTCTGTTGTCGCACAAACGCCCTCCGCTCTTTGGGAGTATGGGTGCGCTACACGAGTGTCGATCAAATTTCAATATTACATCAAACTAAATTAACCCAAGATTAACGTTAGGTGCTGTTGACTAGCTGCCTTCTCTCTAGTCTATAAGTTCAGAATTAGGGACGGCTATTTTTGTGTAGCTGTGCGTGAAAATCCTAAATAAACAGACAATCATAAATTCGTATAATAAAAACTAATTTGAATTATGTAAATGGAGCAAACAAAAGACAATTATTTTGTATAGAATCTTAAAACTAACGATGTACATTTTAGGGTCAGAAACTGATACTGCTCATTGAGAAATAAAATAAAACAAAATCGACCCCATTCCCATTTTTTTTTTGTTATTGTCTTTTGTCTGTTTTTCTCCAAATGACCATAAATCGAAACGAAAGAGGTTTTCGGGTTTTGGTTGTCGACCAAAGTTCTCAAACTCAAGTACTACAAACAGATTGCGAGCCGAGCGCCCTAACCACCTGGCCATGCCGGGCCCGAATCAATAGAGATTTCACATACACTGCTGTTACATATAAATCAGCGAAATATTCTCACAGACTAGCCTATTTAATAAATGAAACAACCTGGCAAAGCAAGTATCCCGTGACACAAAAAAATAAACAAAAACACTTTCAACTTCTAATTTTGTAATCGTCTTTTATACGGGGTGAAATATGTATCGTTTGCTTAAATTACTTTTGTGATATGTGTTTGATATTTGGTTTTTCAACCTGAACCACACCTCTCATGGCAAATGGTCTAAAGTTCCATGCCAAGGATTCTGTAGATTCAAATATAGCCATCCTGACTGGAAGTATACTCTTATCGGAACAGTGGGATTGACAGTCACATTCCAAGAGGTGATTTTTTAACAATCTAAAAATAGTGAAATTATATTTTATGAAGTAGCTTATAAAGCTGAAAAGATCGGATTCGGCTGATCCTACTATGGAATAACAGACATAATCTTGGAAAAACCCAATATAATATTTTATGTGTTTATATAAAATATGTTTCAATGGAATGTTTTACTGAGCTCTTAGAATTTTTTCTACTTTACTAGTTGCATTACTGTAAGTTAGAATTGTATCTTGTAGCTTATAAAAGTTTTTAGGCTGGGCCTGGCCTAGTGGTTTAGAGTGCCAAAGCTGTAAATCCAAGGATTCTGATTTGCGTACCTTTGCCTCAAAAATGTGCCCCGCATTTTGGGGACCATATGTGCTATAATTGTGACAGTCAAATTACACTAGGCCCGGCATGGCCAGGTGGTTAGGGCACTCGACTCGCAATCTGAGGATCGCGGGTTCGAATCCCAGTCACACCAAACATGCTCGCCCTTTCAGCCGTGTGGGCGTTATAATGTGACGGTCAATCCCACTATTCGTTGGTAAAAGAGTAGCCCAAGAGTTGGCGGTGGGTGGTGATGACTAGCTGCCTTCCCTCTAGTCTTACACTGCTAAATTAGGGACGGCTAGCGCAGATAATTCAAAACAAACAAACAAATTACACTATTCGGTTATATAGGAGTAGTTAAAGATTTAGCGGAGAGTGCTGTTAACTGACTGTCTTAACTCAAAATCAGTTCAAAATTAGAAACGGTGTTGATGTTTATTATTAAGCACAAAGCTACACAAAGAGCTATCTGTGCTCTACCCACCACGGGTATCGAAACCCGATTTCTAGCGGCATAAGTCCGCAGACATGCCGCTGTGCCACTGGGGGGGGGGGGTTAGGAACGTAAATACTCATATTATCTTTTGTATAGCTTTACGCGAAACTTCCGAAACAAACAGACAAACGAATATTCAAATGTTCATATTGCATTTTATACACATATTCTAGACTTCGTAATATTATTTATTAATAATTATTATTATTTTTATCTTTTTTGTTTTATTACATTTTCCATCACCTGGAAAAATATTTCATCATTGCAGACCTATTCTTGAAGAACAAGTCTTGTCCTTTAAAAACACCGCTATTACATTTATTGCGGTGGCTTTTCGTATAACTTTCAAACAATCGGCCAACGTAGATGCGCTAAATAAAACCTCATAAAATGTTCTTTCATCCACGAACTAGAATTTACGTAACAACATATCGTATCTGAAATATACCGAGAAAAAATTCAATAACTATTTATCACTATGTATATTGTATATACAACAAGGAATTTTATATCCACGCGCGAATGTGGTTTTAAAAACAGCGATTTAGAACGTCATTAAATATGTCTACGCTAGTAAAGAACAAAATGAACGAGTGCCAGTAAATCAATATTTAATTATTCCCATTCACAACAAAGTATACTTTATTGACGTACGAACAAGAAGTATAAACTAAGGCTGGTACTCACGAGTGTTTGTGGCAAAAGCGAACGCCAAATCTGTCGTGGCTGTATCTTCATCCTGTACTTCAGATCTAGGCTGGTCTTTCTGTACGTCGTGTTCAGGCTGGATCTCTTTGGAAGAAGGGGACGTCGACCTGTAGGTTATACCGATTAACGATGTCGTAAAGCGGAGGAATGTTTTGCAAGTTTTTTCTTGTGATATTTGGAGGCTGACTCATCCCCAGTTTGGTGAGAATTTGTGCTTTGATCATTTCTAGACGCTGTTTTTTCTCCTGCTCTGGTGTTAGACACTTCTGACATCTCCGGGAACCCTGGGTGACTATCTCTGTATTCTTTCCAACATGATTCGTTTCATCATTTTCGGCCGCTTCCTCGGAAAGTTCTTTTTGCTGCTGTAGCAAAAAATCAATTTGTTCGGTCAAATTCCGTGCTTCTAGGTCCATCGTGGACAGTACCTTCAAATTTCCGATGTTGTCATCCTGTTGATTGGAAGGTTTCTCCGTCGGTGACGGTACCCCTAGAGCGCAGACTGTCAGAACCAAACACATAGCTCCAAGCAGAACTTTGGACTGATGAAGCACAGCTGTGCGGTTTCGTGTCAGCGTCATGGGGATCTCTGTAGTAAAGCGTCTTTATGTGTGTTTCTAGGGAGAGAAAACGACCCGTCAGCGGAGTCAAGGATTGTGAATGCTGTAGTTCGAACTTCTGGGTGTGCGCAGGAGTTTTATAGGTAAGCTTAGCTCATATGCTAAGGGGGACGGCATATTCTCGGGGGAAACAGCTGGACACGCCCTTTATTTCTCTGAGCAACTTCGTTTTTTTTTGTTTTGTTTTTTGTAATAGCAGAAAGAATGCCAGTAACCACCCACTTTTTTAGATGGCACCAATCAAATGCCTACTCCGTGAAACCCTTGCCTAAGACTGGTCACTGAAGCTGCGCGTGAGTGGGTCCCGGGGATTTAGATAATCACCCAAACACTGATCGCGAAGCTTTAGATCTGGAGAGTACCTATTACCTTTATCTCAAATGTCTATTTTATGTGAATATGGGTAATCTAATAAAGCCGTTTCATTTTCACAGTAAAACCACAATTAATAATTTAAGGAATATTTACCCCAATTAATTTAATTCCATATATATATACATGTATTATATTATCTAACAAAGGCGCTAATAATTTCACCATCTGGGAAGCTGAGATTATGGGGTGTTCTTAAAGCACAGTACCCTTATTCATGTAACGTAGTACTACGAGAACTCTAATACGCCAACATAACAATTATCTATAAAACATCAAAGGTTAAATTTATGTTGTTTTAATAAGGTACTTTGACAGTATAACTTCATTTTAAAACGGTAATTATATAAAATAAACTTTAAGCACGGGTAATTCACTGTATTCAGAAAAATCGTAGCTTACACACTTACCAAGTATATTATTATGCAAAATTGCTACCCTCTGTCTAATCTGTATTTTCTTTATTCTGTAATGTTGTGATATCATATATTTATGAAGAATATTGACGCGTATAGAATATAATTAAAATCTCTGTATTAGAGACACTGCAAAATTATCTGAAATATCTACTCCCTAATTTCTTATTTTCAACCATAGAACTTTGAAGGTTTTTTCCATCTCAAGATTAACATAAGTCGACAAGTTATGTGCTAAAATGACAAGGTAAAATGTAAATCACCTTTGTTCTTAAACATGACAAAAGTAAAATGTAAAGTCACTTTTGCTCTTAAACATGACAAAAGTAAAATGTAAAGTCACTTTTGCTCTTAAACATGACAAAAGTAAAATGTAAAGTCACCTATGCTCTTAAACATGACAAAAGTAAAATGTAAAATCACCTTTGCTCTTAAACATGACAAAAGTAAAATGTAAAGTCACCTTTGCTCTTAAACATGACAAAAGTAAAATGTAAAGTCACCTTTGCTCTTAAACATGACTTTCGATGCATTTCTTTGTCAGTCAGTACGTAATGTTTGGTCCTTATTTGTTGTTTAAAGGCCAATATATTGTATGGATTTCGAAAAATATCTATGTATATGAAATCATTTTTCTCTCCGATTTACATTTCTTCCATCTGTAAATACACATCACTTGAAAAATGTGTATGTAATATTTTTATATTTCAAGATAAGATTTCTGATTTCGTCACACGCTTAGTGACGAACAGCTTTTCTGTTAAATTTCCCTAACAGACTCCCGGTTAAAAAAGACCGCCGTTGTCAAGCTTCAGGGCTTATAAGGCTAAAATTCGGTGTTCAGGATCTGTGATGAGACAGTGCAGATAGCTCGTTGTTTATTTTTCCAATTCAACATCTGTCTTACTTTCTTGATAGTTATACGACTCTAATCCATTATCTTAAATATTTTATGAAAAAATATAGATACGAAAGTTTGTTTGTTAAATAATTACTTCGTATGCTCTATTTTTCATCAAGATGTTCCAATAATTTTAGTAAATGTGTATGTAATAACTTCCCTTGTTTCTAATGGATAAACTGCCATTTTGTAGTTTTCCTGCACCTGAGTTTATTTTGTATTTTGTTTTAAAGTTTATAACCTTTATAATGGAAATTTTATAAATCAAAAATTGAAGAGTGACAACTTGTGTTCTTCTTTTGTATCTTAACTTTTGATGTACTGTACGCAATATCTGCAAAATATATAATATGAATTAACTTTATCGGTTTGTATTCTTAACAGCTAATTTGTTTTACTCCTAAAAAAAATGAAAATTATATTTCTCTTTAATGACTAACTTCACCGAAACCTGGATTAGGATGGACGCAAATTGATATATCGCAGGACGTAAAAAAAGCGCTATAGCCTTTTAACGGAGACAATAGAGAATGTATAACATTACTTCAATCCAGGGGAAATAAAGTCAACAGGGTACAGAAAATAAAAACAACAAATACGACTGCTCGTTACTTCAGTGTGTTTGAAGAAAGAAATAGATAGTTGTGTGACATATATGACTGATGGTTATTTCACTGTGTCTGAAAAAAGAAGAGAGTTAGTTCTGTGACATATATTACTGATGGTTATTTGACTGTGTCTGAAGAAAGAAGAGAGATAGTTCTGTGAAAAATATTTCTGATGGTTACTAAACTGTGTCTGAAGAAAGAAGAGAGTTAGTTCTGCGAAATGTATTACTGATGGTTACTAAACTGTCTGAAGAAAGAAGAGAGTT